CAGAGGGAGGGGTGACTAGGGACAGAGTGAGGGAGGTGGTGACTAGTGACTAGTGACAGTCACCACCTCACTCTGTCACTAGTCACCACCTCCCTCACTGTGTCACCCACTCCCTCCCTCACTCTGTCACTAGTCACCCCTTCCTTCCCTCTGTCACTAGTCACCCCTTCCCTCACTCTGTCACCCCCCTCACTCTGTCACTAGTCACCCCCCTCACTCTGTCACTAGTCACCCCCCTCACTCTGTCACTAGTCACCCCCCTCACTCTAGTGACAGAGAGAGGGAGGGGGTGACTAGTGACAGAGAGAGGGAGGGGGTGACTAGTGACAGAGAGAGGGAGGGGGTCACTAGTGACAGAGTGAGGGAGGGGGTCACTAGTGACAGAGTGAGGGAGGGGGTCACTAGTGACAGTCACCACCTCCTTCACTCTGTCACTAGTCACCCCCTCCCTCACTCTGTCACTGTGTCACCCTCTCTCTCACTCTGTCACTAGTCACCCCCTCCCTCACTCTGTCACTAGAGTGAGGGGGTGACTAGTGACAGAGTGAGGGGGTGACAGAGTGAGGGAGGGGATGACTGGTGACAGAGTGAGGGAGGGGATGACTGGTGACAGAGTGAGGAAGGGAGTAGTGACAGAGGGAGGTGGTGACTAGTAACAGTCACCACCTCCCTCACTCTGTCACTAGTCACCCCTTCCTTCCCTCACTCTGCCACTAGTCACCCCTTCCCTCACTCTGTCACTAGTAACCCCCTCACACTAGTGACAGAGTGAGGGAGTGACAGAGAGAGGGAAGGGGGTGACTAGTGACAGAGTGAGGGAGGGGGTGACTGTCACTAGTCACCCCATCCCTCTCTCTGTCACTAATCACTCCCTCCTAACTCTGTCACTGTGTCACCCCCTCCCTCACTCTGTCACTAATCACCCCTCTGTCCTTAGTGACAGAGTGAGGAAGGGGGTGACTAGTGACAGAGTGAGAGAGGGGGTGACTAGTGACAGAGAGAGGGAGGGGGTGACTAGTGACAGAGTGAAGGAGGTGGTGACTGTCACTAGTCACCCCCTCCCTCTCTCTGTCACTAGAGTGAGGGGGTGACAGAGTGAGGGAAGGGGATGACTGGTGACAGAGTGAGGGAGGGGATGACATGTGACAGAAGGAGGGAGGGAGTAGTGACAGTGAGGGAGGTGGTGACTAGTGACAGTCACCACCTCCCTCACTCTGTCACTAGTCACCCCTTCCTTCCCTCACTCTGCCACTAGTCACCCCTTCCCTCACTCTGCCACTAGTCACCCCTTCCCTCACTCTGTCACTAGTCATCCCCTCACTCTAGTGACAGAGTGAGGGAGTGACAGGTGACAGAGTGAGTGACTAGTGACAGAGTGAGGGAAGGGGTGACTGTCACTAGTCACCCCATCCCTCTGTCACTAGTCACTCCCTCCTAACTCTGTCACTGTGTCACCTGCTCCCTCACTCTGTCACTAGTCACCCCCTCCCTCACTCTATCACTAATCACCCTCTCTGTCCTTAGTGACAGAGTGAGAGAGGGGGTGACTAGTGACAGAGTGAGGGACGGGGTGACACAGTGACAGAGTGAGGGAGGGAGTGACTAGTGACAGAGAGAGGGATGGGGTGACTAGTGACAGAGTGAGGAAGGGAGAGAGGGGGTGATTAGTGACAGAGTGAGGGAGGGGGTGACTAGTGACAGAGGGAGGGGTAACACAGTGACAGAGTAAGGGGGTGACTAGTGACAGAGTGAGGGAGCGGGTGACACAGTGACAGAGTTAGGGAGGGAGTAACTAGTGACAGAGAGAGGGATGGGGTGACTGGTGACAGTCACCCCCCCCCTCACTCTGTCACCAGTCATCCCCTCACTCTGTCACTAGTCACCCCTTCCCTCCCTCACTCTGCCACTAGTCTCCCATTCCCTCACTCTGTCACTAGTCTCCCATTCCCTCCCTCTGTCACTAGTCTCCCATTCCCTCCCTCTGTCACTAGTCTCCCCCTCTCCTTCCCTCTGTCACTAGTCACCCACTCCCTCACTCTGTCACCAGTCACCCCCACTCACTGTGTCTCCCCCTCACTCTGCCACCACTCAACCCCTCCCTCACTCTGCCACCACTCAACCCCTCCCTCACTCTGCCACCAGGTACCCCCTCACTCTGCCACCTGTCACCTTCTCCCTCACACACTCTGTCACCTGTCACATATGCATTCACACAGACACTATATACAAAAAAGCACATGTAGTCATCCAGACATGCACAAGTGCATTCACACAAACTCAAATACAAACATGCATTGATACACAGGTCTTCACAATACACACATCCAAAGGAATGCCGTATTATGAATTATATTTAACATTTATTAAAATGCACATATATTTGGCCTTCAAAGGGCCTGGGATCTAATTTTGCCCGGGGGCCCCAAAGGCTCTCAGTCCGCCCCTGGTACTGTTATACTCAGGAGGCTTCGCTGAACACAAATAATAGTGTTTCAGTAAAACCTATCACAGCAATAATATCATCAGTGAAAGTGCCGTTTGTGTGTGAAAAATGCAAAAAACTTCACTTTCATGACCATATCATCGCTGTGATATGTTTTACTGTTTTGAAAGACTAATATTTATGTTCAGCGAAGTCTCCCGAGTAAAACAGTACCCCCCATGTACAGGTTTTAGGGTGTCATAGAAAATTACAGGGTTAAACACAGTGCTAGCAAATTAAATTCTCTGGACATTCGGCCTGGTTCTCAGGCATGTCCCTCAAATTGCAATCAATAAAATTACTTAATTATGTAATAATATTACATAAATATGCACGTAGAATTTAAATATATATATATACATATTTATATATTTAAAGTCTACATGTATATTTATGAAATTATTTATGTAATTATGTATATGGACATATGTATATTTCGTATTATTTTTATTTATTTATACATAGATATATATATTATTTCATTCTAAGTGTATTTTGATATAAATATATATATATTAATATCAAAATACTATTAGAATAAAATTACATATATATAATTTTTTTAAAATTATTAAAAACTATTTTTTACATTTTTAAATTTATTTTTATATTTTATAAAAATTTATATTTTTATATTTTATAATAATATATATATATTATTAATTATAAGTGTATTTTTATATTAATATATGTTTATATAAATATAAAAAATACACCTAGTATGACATTATATATTTAAGATATATATACATATTACATATGGATATAATACATGACAGTCCCCCTGCAGGCAGATACACAGGCACCTATTGCGGCCACGTGATCGAGCGATCACGTGGCCGCGGGGCCCTGATCTGCCGCGGGGAGTCTGCCTGGGCAGACAGGCAGTCCCCCTGGACCGGGAGGAGCGCTGATCGCCGCCGGGGGACCGACAGCGATCAGGTAAGTACCCCAAGACGTTATGACGGTTCAGGACCGTCATTGGTCCTCATGGGGATGTTTCCGATGACGGTCCTGAACCGTCATCGGTCGTCAAGGGGTTAAATGAACACTTAGAGGACCACTATAGTTCCCCCCATCCTCAGGGTCCCACTTCCGCTGGGCTCAAGGGGGCTGAATGGGTTAAACACTTACCTTTCTTCAACGCCTCGGTGCTGGGGACCTCTCCTCCTCCTGACGTCAGCGCTTTCCTATGGACGTCCAGCGTCTTCTCACTGTGATTTTCACAGTGAGAAGAGCGGAAGTGCCTCTAGCGGCTGTCAGTGAGACAGCCACTATAGGCTGGATTAACCCCCAGTGAAACATAGCAGTTTCTCTGAAACTGCTGTGTTTACAGCTGCAGGGTTAAAACCTGGGGGACCTGGCACCCAGACCACTTTATTGAGCAAAAGTGGTCTGGGTGCCTATAGTGATCTTTTAATATAATAAAATCTTACCTTTAATCCAGTCTGCTGGTGCTGGTCACTATATACAAAAATAAATAAAAAGCCATAAAATGCATGTTAAATCCAGAGTAAGGCCTCTGAGGAAGTCCTTGATGACTTTTGTCCAATCCAATGTTTCACATAGAGAAGCATTGGAAACCAGCAGCACATACTCAGGGATTATACATACTCTGCTAATTGGATGCGTCTGTACAATACAAACGTACATATACAATACACAGAGCTGGGTGGACTGCAGAGATATCTATACAACAGGCAGAGCTGAGTAAAATACAAAGAAACAACATACAGAGCTGGGCACAATAAGAACACTCATAACAATCCCACAAAGTCAGGATCACTGTGATGGATTACGCACAGCTGCAATACAGAGATCACCATGCAGTACATGTCTCTGTGTAATGCTCTCTCTCTCTCTCTATCTTACTAGCCCTCTCTTAGCTCTCCTTTACATGACCTCATCTTCAGTAGTGTTCCTGCTATGATAACATTAGCTTTTTATTAAATATTGCTGCTGTTATGAACCATGTCAGATACTCCATTAGCTCTAAGCACATGGTTCAATGAACAATATAGTTTTGGATATACAAAACTATATTTCTAACACTATAGTATCCCGCTGCCCAGCCCCCTCCCTCCTGCCCGCAGCAGTTAAAGGGTAAAAAAAAAAACTTTAAACACTCATCTTATTCCAGTGCCGAGGTCCCTCGGTGCTGGCTTCCTCTCCAACTCCTCAGATATCAACGCAGAGGGGGACCCTATTGCCACACGCGGATAAGTCCTTCCCCATGGGAAAACATTGAATAAATGCTTTCCTTTAGAGGATTTGAAGACACTGGATGTCCTCACACACAGCGTGAGTACATCCAGCATCGTTTAACGGAGTTAACCTCTGTGAAACAGTAGGAAACACCTTTAATGGCTGTCTGGTAGACAGCCACTAAAGGCGGTCTTAACCCTGCAATATAAATATTGCCTTTTCTTTGAAACTGCAATGTTTTAGATTGCAGGGCTAAGGGGACAGGGACACTGTACCAAGATTACTTTAATGAGATGTAGTTGTCAAGGTGCCTATCTTGTCCCTTTAAAGTATCAAGATACCGAAAGACTAATTTCAGCTACTCTTGACTCACTATTAGCTCTTAGCACACAGTGTACATAGGGTTAAAGCAGCAGGATACCGATAGACTCTTTATTAACTTTGTAGCTGTCAATATAATTAATCTGCATTGATAATATGGAGCCAAGAAGTACATGACATGGTTAACAGAATCAACAATCATACCGATTAAAACAGATTGAAATCAGTCCTCAGAGTCACAGCCCCAGTCCTGCAGTTTAAAGCTTCACAACCTTTCAACTAGCCACAGAATGAGTGTCTCAGGTCTCAGCTGTAGAGTGACTGAGCACCTCAAAGAAGATGGTGGATATGTGCAGTAGGAGTTATTAAAACAATTAGTGACAGGCAGCACAGTGCTCTGTGTCAGAAACGTTCTCCTCTCCGTGTCACCTCTGTGCTTTCCTGGCTTCATATAGATTATTTATACATTTGAGTAACATTCCTTGCTTAATCAGCCTTAAGGGCAATGTGGGGGAGACAGAAAAAAAATATGTTATACATACATTTGGCAAGAGTCAGGAGCTGCTATGGGCACTTTCTCCAAGATGGATTCTTGCTTCTCTCTCCTGTGGGCACTGTAACTCCACCCCCTGGTGCTTTCAGCCAATGATGGCCACTGAATAGAAAGGCCAATAACCTGCCTAGATTCATGGGCAGCTGGCTCTGCTGTTTGAATGACAAAACCTGCTGATACAGGGCAGATTTCCAATCAGCCCCATTTCTGCAATTTTCTTCCCTAAATGCTCTCAAGTAAGATTCTCCAAACATTTACCAACAAGGGGTAGAGGCGCAGCAGAACTGAAACTCATTACAGAATTAAAGAGTCACTATTTTTATCCCATTTATTTTTTTTGTCTTACCAACCTTACTTCCAGAAAAAGAATCTTGATGTTTCTAAACTATTGCAAATAATTTTTTTCCCCCGAGAAAAACTAGTTGGGCAGTGCTCCATGTGCCCATATGCAGGGCCGGTGCAAGGATTTTTGCCGCCCTAGGCAAAAGTAATGTTTGCCACCCCCCTCCCCCCCATGTGACATCACAATGCCCCACCCATATGATCTGCCATGTTAACTAACGCCAGTGCTGCAGTTCCGCCGTGTTTACATTAAAAGGCCTGCAGGGACCAACTATGGACACCAGAACCACTACATTAAGCTGAAGTGGTTCTGGGGACTAGAGATTAGTGCCACGAATAATATACTAGATTGCCTACTTACAACCAGATGAGGATGATGATGGGCTCTAGCTGCAGTCTGGCTCCACTGGTCTGGTGTAGAACG